GGGGAGCCTGGGAACAGCCGGGGAGGAGAGGGCGCCGCACGCAGGAGCCCCCCCCCATGGCTCCCCCGAGCGCGCAGGGGTCTCCTCCCGCTGAACCGCGGCAACGGCTGCGCAGCTTCTGTACATTTACGGAACCTCCTTCAACTGTACGTGTAGGTCAACGTAACAGAATGTAAGTTACCCCTTAATAAAGCTTTTGTAAAAAAATTGGATGAACCATTTCCTTTTCAAAAAAAAAAAAGATTTTATTTATTTTTGGAGGGGGAGAGAAACATCCATGGGTGGCTGCCTCTCACAGGCCCCCCCCGCGCTGGGGACCCGGCCGGCACCCCAGGCCTGGGCCCTGGAATCCCATCTGCGACCCTTGGCTTCGCAGGCCGGTCCTCAACCCACTGAGCACCCCAGCCAGGGCGACCCTCTCGTTTCCCTCCTCAGGGTCTGCATTGGAGCTACCACGCTACAGGACGCGAGGACGAGCGCCCCCTGGCTGCAGCGGGCGCGGGTGCTCGCGGCAGAATAAACGCCCGCGGGGGCGCCGTGCGCAGGCGGCATCTCCCGCGCGGGTACCCCTCGGACGCCGTCGCACTCCCCGCGACTCGCTGCAGTTTCCCCGTGACATTCCCAGGGGAAGAGAAAATTCAGCACCGTGGACACCTCCTTCGGACGCCACCTCTGTGTCCCCGAGGGAAAGGCTGGCTGGCAGGGTTCCAGCCGGGAACCCAGCAACTCGGCGCAGCCACCCTGCAGCTGAGGGGACGAGCTGCTTCTATGGCGGGTCCCGGCCAGGGAGCGCCCGCAGTTACCACGTCCTGTGCGTGGCGCAGACACGGGCCGCCAGAGGCGGCCCTGAGCTTGATTTATTGCGAGCTGGGAAATAAGCCCGTCTCTCAATCGACCGAGCGCACCGGGCTGACGCTGACAAATGGACAGGGCACCGGGGAGCCCAGGGAGGCCCCTCTCCGGAACGCGTTGTAAAGAGAGAACGGTGTTGAGTGTCAAGGGGCGAGAGTTTAATCAGCATTCTTATGAGGGTTAGAAAAAGCTGTCTTATCAGTTTCTCCTTTAAAACCTCGGTTTGGCAGGTAACAAAGTTCAATTGTTCCTCCAGATGAACAGGGATTTCCAGCCAACAAAGAAACAGGTGAAATTTTAGACGACCGCCGTGCAGCCGCGGGAGCTGTTGACCGTCAGAGGACTGCGGGCGCCCCCCGCGGGTCTGTGAGCCCCCTCTCTATCCGTCACCCGCTGGCGCCTGAGGCCGCGACCTCCGATCTCTGTGTCGACACAGAGGACCGGCACTCAGTGCTCCGTCGGCCGGGGCATCCTCAGGGGGCCTTCCCAGGGCCCGCCACCCGGCGATGGAGGGCGCAGTGTTCGGGCCTCGGTATCATCAGATGTTCTCCCTGAAAAGATCAGGACCATCTGTGTTATTTTACAAAACGCCTACCTTGATCCAAGATGGTGGCAGAGGAGGCGGAAGTGACCCTAACCTCCTCCCAGGACCAAACTGGAATCACAACTAAGTTATAGAAAAATCACCCTCAACGACCAACTGGATGCTACCTGGAGAGAAGTCTTATAACCAAGGACAGACAGAAGAAACCACCTCACCACAATATGAGGCGTACGGAGTGTGGAGGAGACACGAGAGGGCTGGCCGGGCTCCACTGGGCAGCAACTGCAGGCCTACAGGATAGTTCAGTGGCCGGGGGGATCCCTCTGAGAAGTGTGTGGTCTAAACCCCAAGCTGGGCCCCCCAGCCTACAGCACCAGAACCAGGAAAGGACCCCAGATAATAGCAGGCTGGGAAAAACAGCAGGGTTTCACTCTATCAGGGACAGACAGCTAGAGATGCAGACACCCTCTTAAAGGGCCAATGCACAAAACTCTCTTTGCACCCACATAGCCTGGGTTCAGCAGAAGGAAGGCAGGGAGGGCTAGACACACATGAGGAGGGCCTGGGGCTGGTGGCTCTGGAGAGAGAACTGAATGGTCAGCCAACAGGATCCTTGTGCAGAGTCACCCTCCACCCTGCAGGAGCCACCTCTCTCACGCTGAGCAACTCCCTCCAAGCGGCATCAGCCTGAAGGGAAGCAACAGCTCCTCCCACAGGAATTACTCTGCCCAGCACTGTGGTGCTTAAGCCGGGCTGCTGAGAAGTACAGCTGGAGGTGATTTCAGAGATCAAGCCTAACAGCCTGCAGGTAAAGGTGGATCTCTGGGAGCTTTGAGACATTAGCTGACCCTCCCCTGAGCCTGGTTCTGTTTCCACACGAACAGGCTCAGCAGAGGGAGCCACAAGCTGTGGATCACTGATAGCTCCAAACAGGTTGCCCAGGGACAGTCACAGGCAGCGTCCAACGTAGGTCTCACAGAGTCTTTGCAGATCCACCTAATATACAGAAACAAACACAAAGAGGAAGGCAAAATGGGAAGGTAAAGAAACAGGCACCAAATGAAAGACTGAGAGAATTCTCCAGAAGAGAAGCTAAATGAAAAGGAGGCAAGCAATTTATCAGAGAGAGAGAGATTAGAGTAATTGTTATAAGGATACTCAATAGCATGAAAAAAAGACATAGAAACCATAAAAAAGGACCAGTCAGAAATAAAGAATGCAATATCTGAAATAAATAATACAGGGAAAGGAATAAACAGTAGGTTAGATGAGACAGAGGACTGAATCAGTGATTTGGAAGACAACGTAGAAAAAAACTCCCTATCAGAGCGGCAAATAGAAAAAATAATTTTTTAAAAATTAGGAGAGTTTAAGAAAATGTTGGGACAACATGAAGCATAACAACATCTGAATCATAGGAATACCAGAAGAAAAAGAGTGTAAGCGAGAGATTGAGAACCTGTTTGAAGAAATAATAACTGAAAACTTCCCTTATCTGATAAAGGAAAAGACACACAAGTCCAGGAAGAACAGAGAGTCCCCAAACAAGATGGAACCAAAGAGGCCCATGCCAAGACACCTTGTAATTAAAATGGCAAAGCTTCAAAACAAGAAAAGAATCTTAACCACCACAAGAGAAAAGCAGTTTGTTACCTACAAGGGAGCCTGATTTCTCAACAGAAACATTTCAGGCCAGAAGAAATTGGCATGAAATATTCAAGGTGATGAAAAGCAAGGCCCTACAACCAAGGATTCCTTACCCAGCAAGGCTCTCATTTAAAATTGAAGGAGAATAGAGAGCTCTCCAGAAAAGAAAAAGCTAAAGGAGTTTGTAAAAACCAACCCAGTACTGCAACAAATGTTAAAGAACTTGCTTTAAGAAGAAAAAAAAGAAAACAACAGAGGGAAATAGTTAAAAAAGAAAATGGCAATAAGTACATATCTATAAATACTCACTGTAAATGTAAATGGTTTAAATGCTCCAAGTGAAAGACATAAGGTAGCTGAAGAGATAAGAAAACAAGACCTATATACGCTGCCTCCGAGAGACTCACCTCAGACTAAACGCAAAGGGATGGCCAAGGACATTGTGTGCATATGGGAAGGGAAGAAAGCTGGGGTAGCAATACTTACGTTTGACAAAAGAGACTTTAAAATCAGGCTATAGCAGGAGACAAAGGACACTACCTAATGACAAAGGGAACAATCCAACCAGAGGGTACAACCCTAGTAAACATGTATGCGCCCAACCTAGGACCACCGAAATATGCCAAGCAAACCCTGATGGACTTAAAGGGAGAGATCGGCAGAAATACAGTCACAGTGGGGGATTCTAACACCCCACTGACTTCAGTGGATAGATCACTCACCCAGAAAATCAATAAGGAGATAGCGACCTTAAACGACACACTAGATCAAATGGATTTGATTGATATCTTCAGAGCATTTCACCCCAAAGCAGCAGAATACATATTCTTTTCAAGTGCACATGGAATGGTTCCTAGGATAGACCACATGTTAGGAGACAAAACAAGTCTCAATAAGTTCAAGAAGATTCAAGTCATATCAAGCGTCTTCTCTGACCGCAATGCTGTGAAACTAGAAATCAACCACAAGGAAAAAAACTGAAAAATATACAAAGACATGGAAGCTAACTAACATGTTATTAGACATTGAAGGGGTCAACAACAAGATCAAGGAAGACATTAAAAGACACCTTGAAACAAATGAAAACAAGAACACAACAAGCTGAAATCTGTGGGACCCAGGGGAAGCGCTCTGCGAGGGGAATCCACAGCATCACAGGCCCGTCTCAAGGAGCGAGAAAAAGCTCGGATGCACAATCTAACTTTGCACTTAAAGGGACTTGAAAAAGAACAACAAAAGAAGCCCAAAGTGAGTAGAAGGAAGAAAATAATAAAGATCAGAGCAGAAATAAATGAAACAGAGTCTTAAAAAAAATGATACAAAAAAAAATCAATGAATCCAAAAGCTGTTCTTTGAAAAGATAAACAAGATTGAAAAATCTTTAACCGGATTCCTTAAAAAAAAAAAAAAAAAAAAAAAAAAAAGGGAGAAGACCCAAATAAATAAAATCAGAAATGGAAGAGGAGAAATAACAACTGACAGCAAAGAAATACATAGGATTGTAGGAAAATATTATGAACAACTACATGCCAACAAATTGGACACCCTGGATGAAATGGGTAATTCCTAGAAACACACTATCTTCCAAAACTTAATCAGGAAGAATCAGAGAATCTGAATAGACACATTATACCTAGTGAAATTAAGCATTACATGCTGAAAAATGAAACTAGACTACCTTCTTCTGCTACACATGAGAATAAATTCAAAATGAATTAACGACTTAAACATTAAACCCAAAACCATAAAAATCCTAGAAGAAAACACAGGTAATAAAATCTCAGACATTGCTCATAGCACTATTTTATCTGGCATATCTCCTCAGGCAAGGGAAACAAAATTTAAAAAAATAAACAAATGGGACGACATCAAACTAAAAACTTTTTGCACAGCAAAGAAAACCATCAACAAAATAAAAAGGCAGCCCACAAAATGGGAGAACATACTCACCAGTGCATCTGATAAAAGGTTAATATCCAAACTTTATAAACAACTTCCAAAAGTCTACATCAAAAAACAATCCAATTAAACAATGGGCAAGGGACCTGAATAGACACTTCCGCAAAGAGGATGCGCAGAGGGCCAGTAGATGCATGAACAGATGCTCAGCGTCTCTGACCAGCAGGGGATGCAAAGTAAAACCGCAATGAGGTCTCACTCCCCCCTGTCAGAATGGCCGTCTTCAACACATCAACAAACAGGTGCTGGCGAGGACGTGGAGAGAGGGGGCCCTTTCGCGCTGTTGGTGGGAGTGCAGACGGTGCAGCCACTGTGGAAAAGAGGATGGAGATGAGTCAAAAAATTAAAAAGGGACCTGCCTTTTGGCCCAGTGATGCCACTTCCGGGAATGCACCCAAAGACACCCAAAACACTAACGTGAAAGTGCGTGATGCACCCTGTGTGCACTGCAGTGTTACCTACAACCACCAAGGCACGAAAGCCACCCACGTGCCCGTCCGTGGATGAGTGGATAAAACGCCTGGGGCATTTCCACAGTGGAATACTACTCAGCCGTGAAAAAGGAGAATATCTCACCCTTTGCGACAGCATGGATGGACCTGGAGAACATTATGTTAAGGGAAATAAGCCAAACAGAGAGAGACAAATACCATATGATCCCACTCGCATGTGGAGTCTACTGAGCAAACTCAACTGACAAGGAAAACAAAGACAGACTCCCAGATGGAGAGCAGATCGCAGCGGGTGAGGGGCGGGGTAAGAGGGTGGAAGGACTGAGCAAAAGGGAAAAAGACGGTCTGCCGCTCACGGTGCTGCTGAGGCTCCGCGCTCCCGCCGAGGACTGCGGAGCTCAGGGCGCGTCCTCCCTCTGCACCCAGGGCTCCGCCGCCGCTCCAGCCGGTAGCAGGTGCGCGGCAAATTGTATTTCCGTGTTTAAAAACCAGTGGAGGGACGCCTGGCCCTGGCCGTACGTCTTATCCCCGTATTTCAACTGCAGACACGTTAACATGTAAAAGCGAAGCATGTCGTCAGTGAAACCTCTGAAAGTCTGTGCTTTCTATTTTATGCACTTTGTATCTTAAAGTTTATATTACATTTTGTTTTATATTACTACTTGTATATCTGAAATAATGTTTAAGCAGTTACATTTTGTCTGTCGCAGGGCGATAATGTTTAAATGTAAGCAGTGTTATACTTAACGAGCTAGCGTGTGCTAGAAGAGCTGGCCCAGAAAACGGTCCTAGGGCCCTTGGACAGGCCGTCCCAGAGCAACGGGTTGGGGGGAAAAAGCGAAGGCCGTCGAGGGTCGACGCGGAGCGCGGCAGAACCCTGTTTGTTGCTGCGACCTGCAGCGGGCCGGCCCTGCACGTTCCCAAACAGCAAACAGTGGGATCCTCTCAAATGTAACGCAGGGAGTGCCCTCCTTTATCCCACGACTCGACTGTTAAGGCCTAGAGACACAGAATGCGCTGCTCTGCATGACTGCACAGAACGCAAGTCTGTCCTTGTAAACCCACCGCCGAATGAATAGTGAGACGCCGCCAGGTTTGCGGCAAGGCCTGCGGCGGATCTGCCTGTGGCGTGTTTGTGTTGTCGTGAACTGCCTAAGCTGCTTACCCATGTTACCCAGCAACTGAGGATCCTCAGTGTGTAAATAAATCACTTCTCTGTTCATTTTCTTGCAAATCTACAAGCTCGTTAGCTAATTAAAAATAAATGAAAATTTCCAGACCTGGAATAGAAATGACTCACGACTCTAGCTGGGTGGTTTAAATGACATTGTGTAGAAGTCATTGCCTTCGAAATGGTATTTTGCTATTCAACTGGAGAATTACCATTATTCATCAGTTGACCTTTTTACTTCATTGTGCGCTAATTAGCTGCATGATTTCATTAGGCATAAAACCCTAACCGATGGCATTCAGGGTGTCCAAATGGCTCCATCCATCAGCAGGAACCAATTGGGATTATTATGTTTTTTGTTATGATTTACTCCAAAAAAACAAGCCTGTCTCACACACTGTGTGCCTTTTATTCCTAAAGATAACCAGGATCTCAGAAGGACCGAACGAACTGTAAATTAAGATCCAGACCCACATCGGTCACTCCGCCTTATTAACACCGCGATTAAACGTGTGCTTACATACGCTGCCTTCCACCTTCTGTCTCCCGATACTCTTGCTATATATTCCACAAGACATTTAAAAACTGAGTAGATTCTACTTTTTCTCTCTGGGCAATACGCACAGCTCGCTCTCCTACTCGACTGGAAGTAAATTTGCATTTTAGGAACTACATGAACTCTTCGTGCCCATTAGGATACCACTGGATGCCTTACAGCTTCATTGTCAATATGGTTTTTATTTTTAATAGAACCATACCTGCCCATAATCTGAAGAGTCTGCACGGGATCCAGGACAGCGTGTCCCTCCTCGCACGTCCGATCTCGTTGCGTCGTTGAATCTAAAGTGGGTGCTGGCAGCCCGCCTGGAAATACAGCTTTGACTCCGCTCCGGACCCAGCCACATGTGAACGCAGGAAACATTCGAACCTGCAGAGAACGTTTCAGTTTAGTTGAGCCAAACTGGCGAGAGTTGCCAGGAAGCAAAACCCCAACCAGCTGAGAGAACGCTCCTCCGGATTCACACACGACAATCAAAGGGGAGGGCTCAGGGGTCCATGAGGACCAGGGAGGCGGGAGGGAGCAACGCGGGGTAACCGCTGCGATGGCATAAAAAGTAAAATGACGGACACACACTCCTTTTACACGGGGGCGGGGGGGGGGGCGTACAGGGAGGTAACAGCAATTAACAGGGTAACAATGAAATGAGGGGATTTGTGGTCTCCCCCCGCAATGCGGTGCCTGTGCTCTGAGGGGTCCTGACAAAGGGAATTTGACACCCCAAAGCTGTGTGATCGTAGGTGCAAAAAGGCAACAGGCAGGCGCAGCCAAGCTCGAGACTGACCTTTGTCAGGGACAAATATCGGCCGAGCACATGAGGACCTGCCATGACCTGCGTGTAGTCAGAAAGGTTTTCATTTCAACCCTCCTAGGGGGTCGCTTCCGGCCTCTGAGTCTGCAAGGCCGCTCCGCGGGCCCCCTGAGCCGCCAGGTGGGCCCGTGGCCCTTCCGTCCACGCGTGGCGCCCGCGCTGGGTCCGGCGCTGGTCCGGATGTGGCTGTGAAGGAATCTGGTAGGTGTGTCAAGACAGGATTGATTCTTACATGTTTATTTACCCTGTTAAATATGCTAACGCGTCTTGAATCTATGGTTTCTTGTTTTAAATCGGTTTTACAATCTTTTCAGCCCAGACCTTCCCTCTGTCTCTCTCCCCTGTATCTTCCTTTCGGTCTTTTTAAATACGTGGATTCTACTTTGCTTTTGTATCCTAGATCTCATCGTTTGATTTCTGAATGCCCTACTGGTCTTTTTCTATTGTCTTTTTTGCTTTAACATTTTTTATTTAAAAAAGATAAGCCTTTTTATTACAATTTTATATTTATTTTAAAAAACGAACCGATGGTCCACAGTTTTCTACACCGTGACACCCGGCGGCGTCCCCACGCGGAATCTTGTGCAGTGGTGCCATTGTTACAGCGAATGAGCCACTGCTGGAGAAGTGCTTCGCTGAAGCTTCCTTCCTTCCTTCCAGGCCACGTGCTTTTCTGCGGCGGGGTCGCGCCCTGGACGCCCGTCCCGCGGCGGCTGCTGCGTGGCTGTTGGCGTCCCTCTCGCTGTCACAGCGACGCGGACTTCCCTCCTTCTCAGGGAGCCCTGCTCCTCCGATCTGCCTGACACGACGCCCCTGGGGCTGGCGTTTGGGGTATAGAGGCGACTGAGGCCAAGAGCCGTTTTTTGTCGCATCACACAAAGGCTGCCTACCGTCACAGTGTCACCGACCAGCACGCGGGGCAGCGTGTGCTGCTACAGGAGCGGGATCCCTGTTCAGAAGCGGTTACTGAGGCCTCTCAAGGCACCGCTTTAACCACGGGAGCCCATGATTAAGGCTAAACTCTGCCTTAAACCCTCCTGGTTCTCCCTCTGAGTCGTGGTTATCTTGTTTCTGCAGGGTTAGTTTACAAACCAAGAACAACGTAAGATACAAACGCTACACCATGTTGGAAGAATGGCAGGCTTCTGCCCCGGAGCCTGTCGCCTCTGGACCCCCAAAGAGTAGGCCTCTCCCCGCTGTCAGGCCAGCCCTGCCGGCCGCAGGCTGTGCCCGGAGCTCTCTCCCGTACAAAATACCGGCCGCTGGGAAACGCAGGCCGCTGCAGCGCGACCCTGCAGGCGCCCCGCGGGGGAGAAGAGGCTGAGAGCCGAGCCCAGCCCGAGCCCGAGCCCGAGCCCGAGCCCGAGCCCGAGCCCGAGCCCGAGCCCCAGCCCCAGCCCGAGCCCCAGCCCGAGCCTCAGCCGCCTGATCCTGAGCCCGAGAGCGAGCCCACCCCGGAGCCAGAGCCCGAGCGCGAGCCCGAGCCCGGAGCCCGCCCTCTTTCTACTCCCATTGGCTCCGAGGGCCTCAGCGCCCCAGCCAATCCCGTCCTAGGACGCTCGCAGCTGCGGCAGCAAGCCCCTCCTACCGCCCCGACGCCTGCTCCCCGCCGACCTGAGTCACTGGAGCAGATCCCGCGGCCCTCGGCGCGACTCGTTGCCAAAGAGGCTGGACTTGATCGCCAGCCTGGGCTGCGTTCCCGGGTCTCTCCACCGCGGGCCGTTTCCGGGCCTGGGCCGCGCTGCTCCCTGGACGGGAGCCCCCGCGTCAAACGCACCCGCCGGGGAGCGGGGCGCTGCGCTCCTTCTGAGCGCCCGCTGCCCCGTAGGTCACAGCAGACGCGCCCGCTTTACGGCGCCTGCGCGTGCGCTCGCACGTTTGCTGTGCGCTCTGCGCTCCCATCCTGTGCGACCTTGTTCTGTGACCGACGTCTCCGCAGCCTGGGCCAGTGGAGGTGCTCTCGGCTGCGGGGGCGGGGGCGGGGGCGGGTGTGTATTTCCATCCGGCGCCCCTTCCCTCGGCTCTGGCGCTGCAAGACGCTCCAGACTCGCGTCCTCCCCGGCCCCTGGCACCGTCTTTTCCATCCTTGTCACATATGTCTGTTTCGAAAAGGTGTCTCTTCAAGCTTCTGTCCGTTTCTGAGTGGACTGATAGCTTTCTTATCGGTGAATCTTAAAACTTCTTTGTCTATTTTAGGTAGAAGTCTTTTAGGTAGTTTGCAAAAATTTTCTCGCAGGATATGGATTCTCCTTGGATTCCTTTAACCGTGTCTTCCTCAGAACTAAAGGTTTTAATTTTAATAAATGTTTGCTTGTCAGGTATTAAGCACTTGATAAATGCTCAGGCTGTCGCTCTAGTTGTTGGTTATATTGTGGGTGGCGCTTAGAGTGATAATGAGAGTAACGGCGCTGGTTCTGACCCCCTGAAAGTGACGTCAGTGGGGCAGAAAGTTGCCAAACACGTACCCTACCGACTTCATTATTTAGCTCAAGGTGGGATCTTACTCACAAAACGCATCGCTCATACAAATCCAGCACCAATATCGTCATAGAACAAAAGAACAAAAAACTGCACTTGGGAAATACGCAATTAAAGAAACCTAAATTAGAAATTTTCAGTCCCGGGCTCTACGCATCTTCCCCACTTTTAAACACCATTGTTTGTGTCTCGGATGGTGTTGTATACCTTTTTTTCTTTTAATCATCAGATATGATCATAATACCCATTAGGAGAACGTCTGTAGTATGTATTCATGCATCAAAGACCTCATACTAGGTCTTTCTGTTGTGCACTCTTCTTCCTAGATGCTCCTAGATTCCTTCTTGCATCATTTCTTTTGTGACTGAAGAACTTACATTAGTCATGCTCTGTGCATACGTGTTAGCAACACGTTTGCTTTTCTGTTGTCTGACCACGTCTTCACTTTCACTGCATTCCTAGAGGATAGTCTAGCAAGGTAAGGAGTTGCAGTGGAAGCTTTCTGCAGCAGGAGCCTCCTGTTGGTGGCTCAAACCACACACTGTCCCTCCAGAGGGGAATAGTCTTTCTGTGAGGCTCACATGACAACACCCTGTCCCTGTCCTATGACAGAGAAAAAACTACACCTGTGCATAACGATCTTTTGGATGAGATGAAAAAGATCCAGACACGCGGAATGCCAAAGAGCAATACATAGATCACCCCCAAAAACTTCATCCATAACATGTTTGCTTTTCTAAAAATAAAATGTGTAGCATTAAAAATATGAAAAATTTACCAAGACAAATGCTTATTATTATGTGCTTATCACACTTTATTGCCACTATGTTTTAATATGTTTTCGTGTACTTTTGCTAAACTTCAGGAATATAAATATTTTGAGAATAAAAGGACCCTGGCTCCAATAGCTATTTTTCTTTTAAATTTATTATAAGTAAAAATGTAAAGCTTAAATATTTTAAATTATATATTTCTATTTATATGTAACAGACTAAAATTATAATCTTCCCTTTAAAAATTACGTGTGTGTGTGTATGTATGTGTGTGTGTATACATGTCAAAGCTTTCATTGTACACCAAGAAATTGAAATTCCTATTTCTGTATGGTATAATTTTCTCTACAGGGTAAAAAAAAAGTCCACAGCAATGATTATAGTGGATTATGTCCTTATGCAGATGATAACTTCAAAAGGGTAAACATCAAAGAAAATGATAGTTTAAAAAATTCACAATAGAATGCCATAGAAAAATTAACCAGTGCAAATGAATAGTTTTGGAAATGTCTAATTAGGCAAATACCTAAAATATAAACTAGTTAATAGTCCAGAACATGCTTAATTGTCTATTTCAGTTTAAGACCAATTAGCTATGGATGATTTAAGAATAGTTGTAACCACATGTAAAATTTCAACTTACATGTAGAAGATACACTATCATTCCGTTTGTGATTTTTTTTTTTCTGAATTGAATACTGGCATAAAAGAACTAATACAGCTCAACTTTCTAAAAATATCTTTATTAAAATTTAAATTTCTTTGTTGACTTTATTGCGGTGACCCTGATTATAATAAAATTATACAGGTCTCAGAGGTACAACCCTATAACACATCCTCTGGACTATTGCACTGTGTGTCCAGCGCCCCAAAGTCACGTCTCCTTCCATCACCCTTTATCTCCCCTGAACCCTCTTCCGCCTCCCGCGCGCCCCCCCACGGCGCTGGGCGGCAGGCGCTGCCGTCTGTGTCTGCGAGTGACTCGTCCGCGCGCGATCCGGTCCCCTTTTGCGCCCCGTCCCCCACGCCCCGCCAGCCGCCAGCCGCCAGCCAGTCCTCTGCGTCCGTGCCTCCGCTGGGTCTGTCAGTTTGTTTTGTTCATCAGGTTGCACCTGTAAGTGAAGTCGTGGCATTTGCCTTTCCCTGACGGGCTTACTCCACTCAGCATAATGACATTCTCTCATTTCAATCAGTGGTTTGTCTATTTGGTACGCGCGCCAAAGCCAGGGAAAGTGGAAATCTTTTTACAGTACAAGCCATGTCCTGCGGCCCTCTATCCACTAGATATGTAGAGATTTGGTATCTTCCCCATGGATTTTTAATATTCTAAACTGCACGTCAGCGGGCTTTTCTGTAGAGAGAAGTAATGTACGCATGCAAATCGCTCCTCTGCAGTCACAGGGGGTGTGAGGCGGCGAATCACGAGCACGTTTAACTTCAGCTTCCCTGTGATTGGCATCGGTGGTCTTTTCACGTGATGGATTTCAAAAGTTTTATAACAGGATGAAATATCCATCTTAGCATCCTTTTATTTTGAAAAGCTATTGACCAAAAATAAAAATCGCATCTAAAAGGAAAGGGGGTGCCGCCTAACCCAGGAGTCAAATGTCGACGATATCAGAAAATTTAAATGAAGTTAAAGCGTTCAAGTGTGACAGGAGAGACTGGTACCTGACATATATGTACAGACACACACACAGACGCGCGTGCGTGTGGGGGGCGGTGTGAAGGAGTGTAAGGCACGGACTCGCTTCTGGCTGAGAAAGAAGAGCGGCTCAGGTCAGCTGCCGTCCGG